GAACATATTTGTAAAACTTAAAGGTTTAGGTATCTGATAATGGGACACTTGTTACTGATATAAATTTGATGGGCAATGTAGCGGTTAACTTCCACAAAGAGTTGATTGGTGAGCTAAATTCTGAAGTCGTGGAGAAGCCAGTGAGTTTCTTAGAGGGTTTGATAAAGAGCAAGTTAACATCAAAAGATGCTAGAGAGCTGGAGTCTGCGGTTACTCATGACGAAATAAGGGCAGTTTTCTTTTTGTGGCATTAGATAAAGCTCTTGGGCCCGATGGGCTTCCAACTGACTTTTACAGGGCACATTGGTAAGTGATAGATATAAGAGGATGTTATTCTAAGCTTTTTCCAGACTGGGATTCTCCCTCGAAAGGTAAACTCAACAATCTTCAACTTGATTCCAAAGATTGCTAATGTGGAGAAAATGAAGGATTTCAGGTCAATGTCATGTTGCAATGTTCTTTATAAGGGCATTACAAAGTTGTTAGCCAATCGCCTCTCAAAATTTCTTCCCAAATTTGATAGATAGATCTCAATCAGCTTTTGTCAAGAATCTGTAATTAGTGACAACATCCTCATGGCAACTGAATTTGTTAAAGACTACCACAAAACATCTATAGCTCCTAGATGTGTAGTTAAGATGGATTTAATGAAGGTCTTTGTTTCTATTAGTTGGAGTTTCTTGTTTAAAGTAATGAGTGTTATGGGATTCCCATATCGATTTGTAAATCTTGCGAGGGTCTGTGTTACCTCCCCTATGTTTAGTGTTTCACTAAATGGGGGATTATGTGGCTATTTTTCTTGTGGCAAGGGGCTTAGGCAAGGTGATCCAATTTCACTTTATAAATTTACTATAGCGATGAATTTTTTCGTGCTTAATGGCTAAGGCAACTTTGGATGGACAAATTACATTTCACCCTCGCTATAAACATCTTGAAATTTGTCATCTTTGTTTTTCGGATGATCGCTTTGTGTTTTTTAATGGATCTGTGGTGGCTGTTGAAGGGATTAAGTGTCTGCTTTCTGATTGTTACAAGATCTTTGGTCTTAAAGTTTAATCCAGTGAAGAGTAGTATCTTTTTTGGAGGTATTGAAGTTGGAGAATATGCTCGTATTGCTGCTGCTATTGGATTCCAATTAGGTGTTTCTTTGTATGGTACTTAGGGGTCCCTCTTTTGGCAGGAAAGCTCACTAAGGCTGACTGCACTTTTTTGGTTGAGAAGATAACATCACGAATTAGTGGCTGGAACTCGAAGCTTTTAAGCTATGCTGGCCGAATTTAGTTGGTCTCCTCTATGATTTCCAACGTGCTTCAGTATTGGATGACCATTTTTCTTTTACCTCAGAATGTTCTTCATGACATTGAGACTATCCGGAATAACTTCATTTGAGAATGGATCACGATCTAAAGCTCCTGTGGCTTGGAAATTTGTTGACATGCTGAAGGATGAAGGTAGTTTGGGTGTAAGAGACTTCAAAACTTGGAATCGTGCTTGTGTCATTAGACACATCTGGGACATCTTGACTGGGAGTGGTTCTCTTTGGGAGAGCCAAGTCGATTTGGGATATCATCCCTACTTCTGTTGGCTCTTGGATTTGAAAAAGAGTGCTTAAGGCAAGGGAGGAGGCTTCTCCATTCATCTCGGGTGCAGGCCCTTCACAGAGGTGGGATGATAAGCCAATGCCATGTTTCTCCGTGAAGCAAGCGTGGGAATCCATTCGTCCTCAACATTCATCAATTCCATGGTTTAAAATTTTTTGGGGTGCGTACTCAATACCTAAGCATAGTTTAATTCTTTGAATGATTGTGAAGGATTGAATATATATTAAAGACAAACTTGCTGCTTGGGGTAAGACGGATGACGTAGCATGTTTGTTGTGCCCGGGGGTTTGGAGAGTAGGGATCATCTTTTCTCCAACTGCTCGTATACCACATTTGTGTTGCAACACTGCCTTGTGGACTTCTCCCCTGTTCCTACTTGTTCTGATAGGGAAACTATACTAAGGTGGGCTATTAGTTTTTGGAAGGGTTCTAATAATCGATTGAAATTACGGAAGTTGATGTGGGTTCTTGCTATCGGCTAGGTTTGGAAGGAAAGATGTTGTCGGTGTTATGGGGATGGCCCTGAAATTAGTAATCCTTTGTTAGGCTATGTTCTTATTAGTTTATATTAGTGTTGTCCTCTTCCGTCGGTTTGCCGGTTAACGGTATAACCACAGAAATTCAGTTATCGATATACGTGGTTCTACTCGGTTAATAGCCGGTGGTTGCCCAGTATACCAAATAATAATGGGAACCCACCCATACCAAATGAAAAAAACACTCATACCCATCCTATGAGACTTCCCCTGCTTACGCCTACCAACCCTTCATCTCCCCATCTTCTTCCCTAACAGGAAACATATCATATCTCTCTCTCTCTCTCTCTCTCTTCTTCCCCTGTCATCGCTCCTCTTCTCTACCAACTGGGAACCAACAGGAGGTGACCCAGCCATTAAAGCATCACCTCCAACTACTCGCACACCAACATCTGCCTCCGCGCCGACACCCATCCTGGAAGCTCCCTCGTCGCCCATGTCATCGTCTTCTTCACGGATCCGGTGGCAAAGAGCCTTGTATCCTAGTATGAGAATGTCCAGTTCCAGCGCTTAATGTCATCGTTCTTATAACATGGGCCACTGAATAACTAGATCCGGCGCGTGGGGGTTTCGCCCTCTTTTGCCGGCGTCTCGTTCAGCCAACTCCCCATCGTCGTCGCTGGTCCGAACCCAACTCCCGTCGGCGTGTGACAATTGGAGATTTGGGAGTGAATCTTTCGGCTACCTCGCCAAGAATAAGTTCCAACTCCGAATCTCCAATTAAGATCACCGCGAAGCAGAAATCAGCCCTTCTAACGATCCCAACAGCTCCCACAGCGTGACGACATCTCCGACCCGAACCAATCCCAGGCTGGTTCGCATTGATCTGGTGCTTCCTTCGCCGACAGCGACCTTGCCGGGGTTCTCTCCCGACCTCCAAGCTCCCTTCCTGGCCAACTCTTCTTCCTCCATTCCTCTAACTATCGTCGTTCGGCCTTGGGTTGACGGTGTAACAGACTATTGACCGGTAACTGACTATCCGGTTAGCTGGTATACCAGATGGAAAGCAGTATCGGACAATGGATGCCTCTTGGGCAATTCCGGTTAAATCGGTAATTGACCAAATAGCAGCCTTAGTTGTGGTGGTTTTCCTCTAATGTTATTTGGTTGGAATGATTGTTAAGATGGGTACATTTGAGAGGACTCTTTGTTACAATGGGAATGAAGTCTAATGAATTTTCATTAACCATAAAGAAAAGTTAGGTATTAAGATATAATACACAAAATTTTAGGTACTAAAATAAGAATTTTTATCAATAATATTTTTAGGATTTATATTAAAAAATAATATTAGGTACTATATCTAAAGATATATTAATTTTAGGTACCAAACTGTATTTGCATATGGTATGTGTACAAATCCATGTATAAGCCCATAAAACTCTACCAATTTTACCATATATTTGGATTTCATACCCAACTCAATTGAAAGCGATAATAAAATACCCATAAGTTTGGGCAAAAATGTCATCCTACATGTCATGATCAATGTTGTTTTTTACCAAGTAATGATAAGAGAGAAAAGTTAGAGAATAACTCTACCCAGCCAAAAATTCCCCCAAGGGAACACCATAGTGAAACCACTGTACAAAAGTCAAAGAAGCTAACTATAAAGAGAACAACAAAGGGCTATACATGCCACTTTATAGGCAGCTTAGTTGGTAGTTCGCGAAATTTGCCTACAAACTATACATTGAGGTAAAGACCCAAGTAACTAACGAACCTCTCAAAGCAGGGTGTCGCCCAGCGAATCCACCCCAGCTCCTTGGTTATTTTGACATATCGCCACTTCAGAGTCACATTCCACAATAAGTTGAGCCAGACTTCTTGAGATTGCAAGTGAAAATGACATATCTAGCAGCAAGTAGCTCTGCATGGTAGGGACCATAGATATCTTGATGCATGACCCCTCTTTTTCTTCTTGATTGTTTTACCAATTTTTAATTTGATTTGGTTGTTCTTAGGTCTGATGGTATCATGGGTTGGGTTGAGGAAATCTGATATGGCGGGTAAAAATGACGTGGCGAGTTGGACCTCCTTTTTACGGGTTAAATCAAGGTGACTGGGTGATACTGTTAGTCACGTCAACATATAGCGGACTCCGTTAACGGATGCGGCCGGAGACTAACGAAGAATGATCAAACGTGAAATGTTAACCACTTTCAGTGGCTACGAATGAAAGATAAAAATTTTAGTGACCAAACATGCAATTTACTCATTCATTAAGAGTTAATGATTTCTCACTTCCTTGTATAATTTGCTAAAACCAACATGAATAGACATAAATTGATTGTAGCATTGGTTGGACCATACATAATAATAATAATAATAATAATAATAATAATAATAATAATAATAATATAAACCGGTTTAACAAAGTTAATGATAACTACCCGAAATCCTGCATGAAGGTTGTCAAACCGGTTTATACCGTTGTGCCAGTTTGGCAAGTGGAATGGTACGACCGGTGGTATAACCAGTTTGTGCCGGTTCATGCCGGTTTAAATAAATGTGAAAACAACTAATATCCAATGTATTTAATTATGTATAAAACATATTTGTGGATAATTTAGGTACAATCCAACAAATATCATCAATTTTTAACTATTACATTCATAAAATGAATAATAAATTAATTTTTTTATTCATTAAATTCATTAAAATGATGTCATTTTACTTAGAATACGTGAGTCGATCATACCGGTCATATCGATGATGTCATGCCGATTTCATGATCGGCACAGGTTGAACCAGGTTCAACCGTGTGGCATGCCACCGGCATGACAACCATGCCTGCATCCAAAAGATCCTAATGGTTAGCACGGCATCTTGTTCTCATCCAACAGAAACATATTAGGACCCCTAGGCCCTAACTACGCGGAAAAATATCAGACGGGGAAATAACAGAACAACTTCCCCGATGAACGCTCACCGCCGGCCGACTGTCGAGTCGGACACCGATGATTCCGACTCGGAGACGATGCGATGTCTCTCGTGCAAGGAAGAGTACGACTCGATCGACGCCGGAACCTGCAAGGAGTGCTACGACGAGGCAACCGAGACCGAGCAAGAGTTGAAGAAAGAGATCGACGATCTCAAGGCTAAGATCGCCTTCTTGAAATTCTGCTCCCCTATCGGTCAGAACCACTTCGACGGCAAATTCTCCGACGTCGTCTTGGTCGCCTCCGACGACCAAGGCCCCGATGGCTCGTCTCCGTTGCCCGTCCCTGCTCACAAGGCCGTTCTGGTCAGTGACATCCTGCCTCCCTTTAAGTCTTAATTAAAAGAGAAACGCTCGTCTTTTGGCCATTTCCGTTTCTTTTAGGGCACCTTTTAGATGGAAAAAATGGAAACTAATTAGCTTGGCATTGCATAAAAATCTAGGTGGAATGCTCTCCCATAAACAGGAAATATACAGCATAAGAATGATGTTGGAGTTGGTAAAGGGCTTTAGGTATTTTGGTTGACTGAAATGTGTTGTTTCGTGGAAGGTCTGGTTGTTCTTGCTTGTTAGAGGCACTTTGCAGTTTGCAGAGCTTCCATCCTGTACTGCTACTGAATTGTTTATTGGAAGGTGGCATGGCGATAAGCTTGTCAAATGCTGGTAATTTTTTTTACTGAAATCTGAACTTGGAATCATCCTCTTAAAGTTTTTGTTTCTTGTTTTCTGTGAGTTGTTTCAGTTTGTCGAACTTAAGATGACACGTCCAGATCAATGTTCACCAATCACCACTTTGAATGCATTTGTCGAGAGAGTATATGAATCTGTCTTTTGGCCATTTCTTTTGCTCTCTAGGGTACCTTTAAGATGAGAATCCCCACTTTTGTTAGAAAATTGAAACTGGATAGGTTGAAATCGCTTGATCTTGATTTTGGATTCAGAAAATGGCTTGAATTCTTGGTTGGACTTGGAGGCATGCTTTAATAATCACTCACGTCTCAGCTTCAACTACTTGTCAATCCCCTGGAAAAGGAAAGGAAGAAACAAGTTGAATGATTGTGTTGCTTCCTTGAATGTCTGGTTGTTCTTGTGTGTTATAGGCATGGGTAGGGTCTTTCATTCTCTTGTAATAACTTGTCTATTGAAAGAGGGTATTGACTAAACTTCTTAACTTCTGTCTTGTGTTTCCTGAAATCTGAATTATTCCCTTGCTTCAACACATCCTCCCGAAATTTTCCCTGGTTTTATGGACTTCCATCCACTTTCGGAACAATTTGTTGAATATAAAATGGTACTTCTGGATCGACTTTTTTATTCAATGTAGTTCTGCATAGGTACCATTTATAAAAATGTTAAGATGCGGTGTGAAGCTGTGAGAATTTATTGATAATTTTGATGTGGTAAATTACTTAGCTGTCTTGTCATTCCTTTTTGTGTCGAACTATGGTCTGTGTATTTTCCTTCTGTGTGGAAGCTTTCTTAAAGGTTTTTGTTTAGTATTCAACCTTGTTGTCCAATATTTCAAGCAGCTAGGACAGGTTGTTATCTTCAGTTGAATCAGTACTCAGCATATGTGGTTTAATCTAACCTAGGCATAACATGAAACACCGAATTGGGAAAAGTGGATGGAGGCTTTAGTTATGTGAAATTTGCTGTCCCTGTACTTTTTATTAGTTCTAACGCTCTTTAACCTGAACAGGCAAGCCGCTCCCCTGTGTTCAGAGCAATGCTTGAGAACCAAATGGAAGAGAGCATCAGTGGAACCATAAAAATCCCCGACGTATCATACGATGCACTCAGAACCTTTGTCAACTACATGTACACAGCTGAAGCACGCCTCGATGAACAGATGGCCTGCGACCTTTTGGTGCTGGCAGAGAAGTATCAGATCAAGTATCTCAAAGGTTACTGTGAGACCTTTCTGGTCTCCAGATTGAACTGGGATAGCTCGTTGATGAGCTATGCATTCGCTCACCAGCACAATGCAAGGCATGTGCTCCAAGCTTCGTTGTCTCTGATCACGGAGAACATGGACAAGCTCACTACACGGGAGGAGTATTTGGAGCTGGTGGAGAAAGATCCAAGGCTTGTGGTGGAGATATACGAAGCGTATCTTGGGAAACAGGTGAATACTGCTGCAGCTCGCGGGGATTGCTCCAAGCAGAAGAAGCTGTAGGGGGGCAGTTGGTCTAGTATAGATGTGAATGTGGGTAGTAATTAGTCGATGCAGTTTTTTTGTTATTCATCTTTTTCCTAGGTTGGTTATCTCAAGAGGACGCTTATTATCAGAAGAACCGGGTTGTGACCCAATGTTGTCAGGATGGAGATTTCATGGAAAGTCTAAATCATGGGTGAATTTGAATCGTAGGATATTACACTAGATAATATTGAAAATTGAGTATAATCTTGATTTTAAGAACATTGGCCTAACTAGCTTAGCGATTACTTCTATAAGTTTCCAGCAGAGTAAAGAAAACAGATTTTGCTGCAGAAATAGAAGCCAACTCCCATGGGTTCTGTACAGTTTAAAAAACACTATGCATGTAAAAAACTTTGGATCCCTTGGAAAAGCTACAGCTTCTTCTCTGATGAATCTGCACTTCCCTATACTCTCAATTGGGAGTCCCCAGTTTTAGCCTTCTTTTCTTTACGGCCTTTCTTGTTCTTCCCATGCCCTCTTCCCTTTTGAGGTCTTTTGATGAACTCTTTATCTATACAACCAATGGAAAAAGAGAAGAAGCCAAACTTAGTCTCTCAGTAGCAACAGTACTTTCCTCTTGGTATTGAAATGATCAACTGGAAGTGTACTCTATAGCAGGTTAGTTTATCCAGGGGCAACTGTTATACGAAGCAAGTTACAAACAACAACTATAAAGACAACTTCACAATTAGTTGTGGGAAGCTCTTGAGATGAGAAAAAGGGTACAGTGGGGGAGGTCAGGGCATACGTTTCTCGCACGCCAAGAACTTCCAGCTCGCATGAGGTCCTTCGCTCGTGTCATGAACCATAACCACCCATCCCATTGCGGATGCTACATCATGGATTTCACCAATAACTGCTAAGGTGTCTCGAATGTACACAGTTCCACCAGGTCGTAGCATCCTGTCCATCTCCAACAAGATGGTCGAAAAGTTGCACTTGGCCCTGGAGCATAGGTTAAGGCATGCAAAAGGAAACATTGTGTAGGTGTTTGTTCAGATATGTGTTCCAGAGGCATAAGTAACAAAAGTACATAATGATTTTGCTGACCTTTTCCTCTCGTCGGAGAATAGACCTGCTGCATGGATGAGGTCATACGATCTGGGGTAAGTGTCGAATGGCTCACACCTGAGTTGAAGACAAGGGATCATTAGTTGTGATTTTGAACAACTTGAGATCAATCAAATCCAGAAAGCTACGCAGACCAGACTAGAAAGGAGATTGGGCAAAGCCTACGGCTTTTATATATTTCCAACTTCTTTTTACCTCTGTGGTCACCTTATCCATATAGCAGAGTTGTCCTAGTCTCATTCAATTTCTTACTTGAATATGTATAAAAACAAGAGGTGGAAAATGAGCATACCAGTCGTGCATTACCCCAAGGAGTCCACGGTCATATATAACAGGCAATGTGTTGAAGCCATTAACAGGAACAACATTCATAACCCAAGAAGTCAGCTCCAAGTCATTCAAAGCTGCTGCAAAGCTGCCAAATGAACACGACTTGAGACTGGAGTGGAAGAACCCTAAAACGTTTCGAAGTTTTCTAATTTCAATGATATGACAAATAGCAAGAGAGAGAAAAATACTGTACCCTCCGAATCCAGCCCTCATATCTAGCACATTCCGAAAATTCTGCTCTTTCCAATGGAATGCTCTAACGTAACTCCCTATTATCTCGTTCCAGTATCTTGATTCTGCTTTCATCAGTTCCTTCCTCGATATCATTGCATCCATTTTAATACTCTGTAGTCTATCTGGAGGAGAGTGAAGTCGTGCTGGCCACACAGAAACATTTCCTCCATTCCCGTCCTTTGGCAATGGAGTTATGCATGCTGTCATATTCACATACCTGCAAAAACACACATAACACCATCACTGTGAGGCAGTATTATTTTTTAACTGACGTAGTGAATCCAAAGTCAGGTCCAAGCCATACCAGACATTGTCCGGATCCTCGCTGGAACTACACAGTGGTGGCTGCGCTCCAATCTCCCGGCCAAGATAGCAACTGTTGTTCAAAGGCTTGCACCATATACCAACATTACCTTCCTTCTTCACAAGTTGCCAACAGATTCTCGCAGCAAGATCCTCCATTTCTGAACCATTATAGACAATAAGCAATCAGAATGTCGAAAAATGTTTGTTCGAATGCTCGTCTTTATGACAAACTGATATGAGAATAAGCTTTTAGAGATCCACAGTAGGACTAGGTCACCTTTCCACTGGTCCTCTAAACTGCGCTCATGGTTACTATCAACTTGTGGCCCTCCCCACACGAAGTATCGTCCTGCCCTCAGCAACCTGTTCACCTCCAGAAGCAACACTCCATCTTCATTATATCCAATAGAAAAACAAGAGATCACCAAACATTTCATAGAAAACTGAGAAATAAAACCTAATAATAAACTATCTTGAGAAGGAAACATACTGTCGACAGTCAAGTCAATTCCAGATCCTGAACAACGTATCAAGTCAAAAGCTTGGCTCGCATAGGGCAACCTACGAGCACCAAACCCCGCTACCATGGCAGGAAGGCCACGCTCCAGTGCGAACTGAATCTGATTCTTATGAACATCTTTCGTCCCAATCGAAAGTGTAACCACATTGTACTTAAACAAAGACGCTGCAAAGCTCCCAATCCCTGAACCAATATCTAATGCAATGCGCGTTTGATGGCCGAAATCGATCTCAGGAACCATCTGAAGATTTCAAAATTCAGTTCAGCAATCACTCAATCAAACAAGTGTTCCATTGTTCTTAACGAGGAAAACTACCTGTGAAACCAAGTTCAAATATTGATCACTTCCACCATCCTGAAAACTGATCTTATCATCTTTCACGGACATCGAATACTGGCTGCCTTGATCTTGAACCAGGCGTGTATCAGGCACATTATGGAGCCAGAGCTGTTGGAATTGAACAAAAACTATGCCAAGCTCAACGATAAACCCTAAATGGCTTCAAATTACAAACCATGAAATCAATAATTAGCTCCAAATAATCCATTACCTCGTCTCGGCTCCTGGGCCAGGGGAGGGATTTCTGGTAGCCATTTGGCATAGGGATGATGCAAACGAGAGTTGAATCGGGGCAATGCCTTTCGAAGCTGTCTAAACAAGGAATGTAATCGATTTTGCTTTCGTCGCACGGTTTGAACTTACCGTACTTGACTATTTCCGGTTCATTCCTCTTCTCTGTTTCTTCTGCTCCTCCCTTAAGATCCCTGAGCTCTTCCATCAAGCTGGGATCGAACTCGCCGACGTCGAAGTCTTCGGTCATGGCCCCGTTCTCGTCCACTATCCCCGTCCTCTGCGCCACTGATGGAGGCGGCGGAGGAAGTTTCTTCACTTTGAGTATAGCAGAGGAGGGGGAGGAGGAGTTGGACGCGATGGAAGTGGTGTTGGCGGCGATGGAGGTGGAGTTGAGGGCGGTAGAAGTGGAATTGGCGGGGACGGCGGTGGGAGAGGAGTTGGAGGCGAAGGTGAATGCGGAGAAGGCGGCGGAGGGAAAGGAAGGGTGGTGGTAGAAGAGGAGGGCGACGGAGAGGGAGAGGAGAGCGACGGCAGCGAATTTGACGAAGTTGGGGGTTTTGACCAAGTGTAAGGCGGTGCCGACGGCGGCGGTGGGGCTGCTGGGTTTCATGGCGGCGGCCGTGGGAGGAAGGTGGAGAGGCGGTGCGGTGGCCGCTGTGGGGTTTGAGGCTGGCGCGGCGAGATTGGGGAGAAGAAGACAGACACAAAAGGGAAGGAGGGAGAAGTAGCAGTGAAGGAAGTGTCCGACGTGGGATGCGGGGAGGACGGTGGGGCCTACCGCCGTTCAGTTAGGCGATTCTGATCTTCTTCGTACTTCTACTGCCTGCCTGCCTTGTGGGTCCCGCGATTCCTTCCGCTGAAATCAATGCCAGCCCGCCAGCTGTGTTTGCAGTCTACAGTCTACACTGTACTTTTGGGGTTGTGTATCAGGGGTCAATTACTGATATGGTCACTGCACTCAGCAAGACTTAACAGATTGGTCATTGAATTCAGAGGTGCAACAATTAATAAAAGACAAAACTCCCTTGTCTATCTTACCACTAGCTTATCACCCGGCCCCTTGACCGTAGTTTCGAAAATTGACTCTTTGATTCTAATTGATATTACCTGTTAAAATGTATGTGGCGATGGCCGGAGGTAGGCCAACAACAACAAATATAATAATATGATGAAAAATCATTATCTCATTGCATTAAAAGAAACAGTAAAACACAAACACTATAATGGACAATCCAAACCAAGTCATTAGCCTTAAATATAGCCACTATTGTCATGCACCATGATGCCCCTAGAGTGAACAAGAAAAAATCAAATGAATGCTTACCTAGCTCCAATTATCGATGGTAAAAATGGAAGCCACCAAGAGATTTCATAAGAAAACCCCAATCTGGATTGCCCTTAGACTAAAAAACCACAGTGACAACAAAGACGATGAATCCCTGTATAAGAAAACAAAACCAGCAATGTCCAAATCATGTCGATGGAATGCATCAGCCAGTTTTTTCTGATAAATAGTTTTGTTAATTAAAATAACAGGAAAGAAAAAGAAATACAAAGCATGCAATCTGCTATAGAAATCTCATATATATATAAAAAAAAAAACAGGCAAGCAATATATGCCTGGAAGCACCAATACATAATAATTTTTGTCAATATCCCTACCATTGTGAAATCCTTATAAATCACTACTAACCACTATGCTACATTAAACACACAAATGACTTACAACTCTATACTTTCTATCTCTTTAATCTGTATAAGTCAATCGTCATGAACCCTACCCATTATCACGATTCTTATCTTTCTCGACAGCAAACACACTGATTGGTTCACTTTTACTCATTCGTCGTGGAAGCTACATGACATTTTGCATCAATGCACATCAATTCAAACGACCATTCCTTGCTACAATTTGTGGCTTGGTCATTCATCATACAAATTTACATGAAATGAAAGGAATGATCATTATAATAGCTTTGTAAAATTTGGAGTACCAATGGCAATTCCTCTCTTATCCTCAGTGGCTTCGTCAATAAAATGAGATTCATCACTATCTCTACCAACGCATTCTATATGATCATAGTATGACCTTTTGTATAATCCAATTCTGCCTTACCCATTTTCGCATCGCAACTCCAAGAGCTAACTTGTTGGGGCTCTCCTCTAGGTAAACAACTTTGTATCAACATCAGGCATGAAATCAAATATTGATTTGGTTGAGATACTATCAGGATTTTGTGATACCCTGAAGAAGGCTAAACCGTTTCTTAGGCATTGTCAACCCCCAATCAATTTGACGTGGGTCATTGCTCTCTTACCATCTAAATTAAAGAGGAAGCTCAAGTTAGCCTCTTTTATAGCTTAACTTGACAATTTCTTAGAGGAGATACAATCACGATTCACAATTCAAGAATAACCACCTCAGATAATACAATCTTATGGAAACAACACTAATGAAGCACCCAAATTATAATTCTGTACATGTTTCCTATTAGGGTGTGCATGTGCAGATTAAGAAAAATATAAGGATTAAGGAGGGAGCTTACTTGGCACGTGGTTTTGATGAGCAAAAATTCTGTCAATAAATTCCAGGTGGAGATGTCCAATCGATCGGGTCTAGACATGCGTATATATCAACATGCTATACACAAACACAAAGAGTTCGATTTGTTCTTCCTATGACAACATGTGCTCACTATGTATTTATTCCTTGCAGAGAGAAGGATATCAAACCATCTTGTATTTGCTCCAATTATCGCTATCACTCGTACTTTTTATATTGCAGTAATTAGAACCCCAGTTTTAAATCTGGAAGCAAGCTAAGTGACCACTATCACAAAACATCATAGTGTAGAAACTTATATGCAATCATGAGGTTATTTCACTCAAAAGAAACCATGTTTTATATGTTGAAGATTAGCATTATAGCTTGAATAGTTCAACTCAGCAATGATCTCAGCTCTTACATATAAATTTTGTGTAAAAGTGTTATAATTGAAGCTATTCCCTGTGTTAACACTAATCATAATAGTCTTTGTTTACTGGAAACTAACCATAAAAACATTTCAAACCAGAAAATGATGATACTGAAAAGGAGTATCATAACAAAAGCAACAAAAAGTATGATTATTTATCTTTAATAAACTCAAAAGTCAACATAGAAGATCAACCAAACGAACTGATATTAAGAGATCACACATTACTGTCAAAGAAGCTATACATAACCCACCAGTCAGTTCTCCAAGCAAGAACACTTAACCTTTCTATATTTACCCCTCCGAAAATTGCTTTGCGTAACAATATAGGTGGAGGAGACTATGTAGTTGTCGTTTGGTGGGAAGGTTTGGAGAGACGGCGATGGTCAAGCGTTTAGTAGGTCGGGACACCATTTAGACCCATTTACATTCGACAAACCAACATCACTCAACATTTCCATATTTACCCCTCTCTTAAAGACACATGTGCTCCATATTCACTCAAAACTTCAATGTTCAAAAATATTGTTGCTTTATAGTATTTATATTATTTAAGTCTATGTCAAGAATTCTGCATCGCTTCTACACATTCAATACTACAATTCGATGTACAATATTTGCACCAATGACATTAGGCTTGCGATTTTAAAATTATTCTCCTTTTATAAGATAAAATAGAAATAGAACTAATTATTAAACTCGAATTAAAATAATCAAAGTATGAAAATAGAAGTATCAAAAAACCAAAACAATATTTAGGGGAGAGTTAGTGGCTTAGCTAACTGTGATGGTAAATTCCTATGATTTTTCATATTTAAGCTTCATGTATGTTTTTAATTCAAAAAGTTTGAACAAATTTGTTTAGTGTAACTGGTTATGTTTCTTGTCTTTTCTCAAAGAGATCACAATTCAAATCCCATCACTTATGTATTTTTTCTGTAAATAAGAAAATAATAAATGATTGTGAACACGAATCTACGCTTCCTACTTGTGCTATGGATGCAAGGATTTTGTAATGGGGGAAGCACCTTTCCCATTACACTATATCATATTAGATGTAGCGAAAGAAACCCGGGTGGTTGAGCGTTTAGTGTGTTGGACACTATTTGGGCCCGATTACATTGGTAGCGCCTTTTCCATCCGCGGTGAGCAAATCAACAACACTCAATCTTTCCATATTTACCCTCCAAAATTGCTATGGCGTAACAATAGAGGTAGATGAGGTTAGCCGGTTGTTGAGTCTATTGGGAAGTTTGGAGAGACGGTGATGGTTGAGCGTTTAGTGGGCCGGGACACTATTTGGGTCCGTTTATATTATTAGTTTCTTTTCCATCCGCGTTCAACAAACCAACATCCCTCAACCTTTACATATTTACCCTTATTCACTCAAAAGTTCTGTGTTTAAAAATATCGTTACTTTATGATAGTTGTAACAATTAAGTCTATGTTAAGAATTCTACATCGCTTTTTTGTTGTTGTAAGAAAACGGGCGACAGAGCGCCCTAACAACTAATGGGGAATGAGTCTGGGAGTTTGACTCCCTACAAGATCAAAGAGCAGCCAATGTTGCAGCTGCTGGTCGGGGACCAGAATCGGATGAGTCCCGACCTGTAAAGCATGCCCTGTCGAGGCCAAGAAATCCGCCACCACGTTGCCCTCCCTGTAAATATGCTCGATCCGCACCTCCCATTCACGTTGCATCATTCGCCTCACCTGCAACGCAATATGATAATATGAGTGGGTATTGGTGGCTGCCTCTATGATCTAAATCGCCGCTCGGGAATCCGTTTGGAGCAAGATCTTCCTCACACCCAGCTCCCATGCGCACCGCAAACCCTGAAGGATACCCATTAGCTCGACGTGGGTGATCGACCCACCTCCCAAGTTCATCACAAAGGCCCCCAGGAAGTGGCCTTGATCATCTCGCACAACCCCTCCAGCCATCGAGCTCTGGGTCGCCAATGCCACCGACCCGTCCGTATTAACACAAGTCCAACCCGGCTAGGGACAACTCCAGCCAATCCAGTTCAATTCGCTAGCCTTCTTCCCCCCTACGACCGCCTCATCCACTTTCAAAACCTCCTCAATCTGCTGTCGTAGCCTCCGCGCGGTCACCTGGAGATGGGCTGGCTCGGCCAGCTTCTTTTCAAACACATATGAGTTCCTGTTCTTTCATAGAATCCAGCAAACGACAGCACACAAAGATGGATCCAAACTCGTACTCCTCCTCGAAAGGTAATGCATCAACCAACTCGTCTCATTCGGAGTGAAAAACTTCTCATCTGGCTCATCAACAAGGAAGGCGGACCATACCTCCCTCGCATATGGGCACTCTCGCAGGACATATATCACTGACTCATCATTACCGCCGCAAACCCTACATGTTCCCACACTAGACATGTGGCGCCTTTGTCTCTCGGCATTAGTTAGGAGCCTGCCATGACCAACCAACCAGAAGAATGATCGGATTCGCTGCATAGCTGGAATTTTCCAAATCTTCTTCCAAACTGGGTGTACGTGCGTGGGATGGCTTGCCTCGTCTAGGCTCTCGTAAGCAGTTTTCAGAGAAAATTCCCCGTTCGTAGTATAGCGCCACAGGGGAACATCACACTCTGTTCCCTGGGGTATATCATGCATCAGGACCTGTTCAACTATGCTACTCGGGAGGAATGCACGTAGGTATTCAATATCCCACACCCCGTTCAATACCATCTCCGCCAATGACAGGGTAGAGGCTTCGTATGGGAGATCAACATCGAGTTCGGCTAGAGTCGGACCATCCATGAGCCAACGGTCCGTCCAGAATGTGACTGATTTCCCATTGCCAATGGTCCACAAGGTTGCATTGGGGATCCTGTCGAGGATCCGAAGCACAGCACGCCAGAGATTCGAGAGGCGACCCGTAGTCCTGGGAACCAGGGAGCCATCCACTAGCCGAAGATATTTGCTTCGAATAACTCTTGCCCAGAGACTAGTGGGTTCCTTCAGCAGCCGCCACGCTATTTTCATCATAAAGTCTTCATTCAACGTTGTTGCATCTAGCACCCCCAAAACTCCTTCTACCTTCGGGCGACACAGTGTATGCCAATCTATCAAATGGACCTTCCTTCCCGCTTCAGAGCTCCCCCAAATAATAGCTCGAATCTTTCGATCGATATACTCCCTAACGCTTGCCGGGAGGAACGTAGTCTGCATGGTGTAGGTTGGGAGAGAGGAAAGAACAGACTGCGCCAAGGTGATGCGACCTGCCAAAGAAAGGGTTGCCACACTCCAGCCTGCTAGTCTGGCATCGATCCTATCAATCAGTTCCATGAACGTTGTTCTCGAGACTCGATCATGTATGACCGGGACACCCTGATATCTTCCCAGGTTGGTCGTCTGAGGGACGCCCAACTAGTTACTCAGGGAAGCTGCGAGTGTACCCGTCACATTTTTTGAGAAGTAAACCCTTGACTTAGGGCGGCTAATCTGCTGCCCGGATGCACTCCCAAAGACCTCGAACAGTTGGTTAATGGCCTGCACCTGCGCATGAGTAGCCCCACTAAACAAAATGAGGTCATCAGCGAAGAACAGGTGTGATAGAGCAGGGCCGGAATGAGAGAGCTTGATCGGCTTCCAGCTCCCGGTTTCCACAGCATCTGTGATCAGATGACCCAGCCCATGCATAGGGTAAAGATGTACGGAGATAGTGGGCAACCCTGACGTAGCCCCCGGGATGGGATAAATTCCTCTGTCAATCCACCATTCCACTGAATACGCATACGTGTCGTGGGTATGCACTGCATGGTGAGCTCTACGAACTTCTCCGGCACTCCGGCAACTGTAAGCGTGTCCCGGACGAAGCTTCACCGGATTCAGTCATAGGCTTTGGCTAGGTCGACCTTGATCACCATCCATCCTGACCTCCCAGCTTTGGCTCTCATAGAGTGTATAACTTCCTGCAAAATGCAAATATTGTCAGTGATATGTCTCCCTAGCACAAAACTCGTCTGAGTCTCGTGCACAAGGGTCGACATAAACGGCTTCAGCCTCTCGGCCAAGCTTTTCGTGAGGATCTTGTAGCTAATGTTGCAGAGACTTATCGGTCGGAACTGTTCAATGAGCACCGGCCTCTGGATCTTCGGTATAAGCACCAGCATAATCTCATTCAGTTCACGTATGGACTCTGGCTCATCCAACCAATGACGGGCAAAATCATGCACTGCCTTGGCCACCACCTCCCAAAATCTGTGATAGAACAATGGATTCAGACCGTCTAATCCCGGCGCTTTGAGTGGACCCATAGTAGAGACTGCCGCATTCAACTCCTCCAATTCGAAGTTCCTACCCAGTTCCAAAACTTGCGGCTCATTCATGTGTGGAAACCCGTTCAGCATGGCTTCACTGGGCATCCCGTCATCCGTGAACAGCCCCGTATAGTAATGACACGCCATGTGACAGAGCTCATTCGGGTCATCGACCCACTCCCCCTGCGAGTTCTTCAGCGCTGCTATCCGGTTCCTTTTCCTTCTACATCGCTTCTACACATTCAAGAGTGCAATTCGATGTGCAATATTTGAATCAATGACATTTTGGTTGCTAACCGTGGTGAAAAAGTCCTATGATTTTTCATATTTAAACATCCTGTATGTTTTTAATTGAAAAAGACCACACAAATGTGTTTATTGTAATTAGTTATGTTTCTTATCTTTGTTTGAAGAGACCACGTTTCAAATCTTATTACTGATATATTTTTTCTGTAAATAAGAAAATAATAAATGATTGTGAAGACGAATCTACCCTTGTTACTTTCACTCTGAATAAAGAAAATTTGAAATGGGGTTTCAAATTTTCTCATTTGGCTTTTATTTATTGTGTAGATAGATTAAGTCATTAACACTTTTGTTATATGCTCTTAACTAGGCATAATGAGATGGTCAATGACGGATTCCAACACAATTTTTCTTTTAACTTAAATTTTACACGGCTGTACTACAGTCTACACTGGTATGTTACTCGATCTATTGACGGTATGAGTTTTGTTTATCATGTATATTACCCTATTAATTATCATTCTTATGTTATTTCGAGATTTCTGAGCTCTTATATCATAGTTCATTACTCAATAAACATTTTATGATTCTCGTACCTTAATCATATGTCATCAGACATTTATCTATTCTAGATTAATTTGTCAACTAAACACCAATGTAACGTTTTTTTTTTTTTTTTTGACTTCTTGATATCAATTAAACATGTTTCTGAGCTAAAGGAAATGCATTTCACTATAAAGGAAGTGTTGATCAGGTTTAGGGATGATAAAAAGGATCCAATATTTGGATTTTGTTCAAACCTAAAGAGTAAAATTTATTTTTGATAATTTTATTTTTGGGCAGCACCATGATAAAGTTTGATAATTCGGAAGACACAAGACAACAAGATTTATGTGGTATCCTGAATGTCGTCACTAGTCCACGAGAGAGCTTTACTCTCCAGCTGAAGTTTTATTAGGTTTTTGTGTTGATTATGCCCAAAGCCTTTACATCATACATATACCCATTTTCACATTCAAATAGGGATTTATAGCTATGGCAGCCGATCAAAACACATGCATGAGCACTAATCTCGGTAGTGGGCCGAGATTGGGCCAAGCCCATTACTCCTCCGCAAGCTGCAGCGCGCATATTTCCAACACACAGCTTGGACAAGAGGAAATGGAAACGATAAGCTCCAAGACCTTTGGTGAACATACATGCCAGCTGTAGGGTGTGAACTATCTTACATGGAACAACTGAACCTGCTTGCGAACGAAGTAACAGTACATCAACCACCGGTGACTCCAGAATCGGCGAGACTGTCAAGTAAATATTTCCGCTGACTGATAACTATTCCTTCTGGTGCTCTTGCAACTTCCAAGCTGAGGAAATAGCGCAAATTTCTCAAATCTTTGATGTTGAACCAGAAATCGAGAAATTCCTTGACCCGTGAAATGAACCTCAAGACTAGTACCTGTCAGGATAACATCGACAACATAAATGAGAGTGACCACATGGATAATCCCTAGCCGAAAGATAAACAAGGAGTGATCAGCAAGAGATGAATGAAACTGGAGCTGACAAAGCACCTGAATGAACTTGTGGCACCAGTGCGAGATGTTTGGTGAAGACCATAAAGAAACTTATGAAGGCGACAAACACAAGTATTACCCGGTGCTGCAAAGCCTTGAGGAATACGCATGTACACCTCCCAAATCCTCGTGGAAAAATGCATTGTGGACATCTAACTTATGGATGTGCCAACCTTTGCATATGGAGAATGCAAAGAGACAACGAACTATGACAAGCTGAGCTATTGGAGCGAATGTGTCATGGAAGTCCACGCCTTCCACTTAAGTGTATCCCTTGGCCACCAACCGCGCCTTAGAGGGCTCAATAGTGCTATCAGGATGAAACTTGATCTTGTAAACCCATTTGCGATCAATGACATGCTTCCGAGGAGGTAAGAACACGAGAGTCCAAGTCCAATTTTTCACTACAAAAACTTCAGCCAACTGGCAAGCTGCCAACATTCTTCTTTGACTACTTCAAATAACGTGCGAGGTTTGGGATGATGGGAAACTACAGCAAGAAGCGCACGATAATTAGCATAAATTTTTTCATAGGAGAGATTATCAGACAAAGGGTAATGAACAAAGTTCGCTTGACTTCCTGTGTACTAGATGTCAAGGTGCTTGGAATGTGTGCGGACTCTGTCACTCTCATGCAATTGTTGAGGTGGTGGACAAAAGCGAGGTCGAAGACAATTGCTCTCTAGCGACCGACGAACGAGGAGCAGCTAGTGTCTGAGCGCTATCAACAATAGGATCAGTGAGCCTGTTGAGCAAAGGGCCACTGCTAGACGAGTGAGGCTCATTAGTGGAAGATGGATGGCATAGATAAAAAGGGACATAGTTGGGCCTGAACGGT